TTAAAGAAGTATCTAGCGTTGGTACGCATTTTTTAAGGTGGATTGAGTCATATTTGAGTTAGACAAAGTAACGGAGACGTCGCCGTCTTTGGCAGAATTCTTTGCCAACTTTCATAGAGCTAAAGACACACACATACAACAACAGCCAACGGCGCAGGTGATATTTTTTGTATTGCAAGCGCTTGTAGGCACGGTTCCCAACTTAGGGCTTTTGCCCCCAGATTTAGGGGCTAGAAGGGTTAAAACGGACTTTTTTAGGGGCTGGAATTTTTGGGGGTTCTTTTAGGGGCTTTAAACAAAACTTTCAATTAAATCGAAAAACAAAGCTTGTGTTTTCTTTCAGTTTTGTGCGTAGAATGGAACGCACCACGATATGAAACGACTGAACTCACTGTGTGGCAAGTTGTTTCCTAAGGCTGTATGGACCAAAGTTCCTTCCTAAAGTTCCACCAATCAAAACAGCTAAATAAGATTTAACAGCCTGTCATATGTCAGCTCATTTTCATTAGATTTTCCATTCGGAAAATGTATTTATTCAATAAAATAATTTACTGTAATTAAATATGTAACGTTTTAATTTATGAGCAACGAAAGAATTTAGGTAATAAGATAAGTAGGTACATATAAATTTCTATATTAAGGGGATTTTAGGGGAATTTAAAAAATACTTAGGGTAAAATTTTGGTAAGGGTTGGTAACACTGCTTGTAGGCTATGGTGGCCTTTTACCATCAGGCGGGCCATAAGATTGTTTGTCACCCTTTTAACATTAAAAATACACAAACATTTTATTAACGGTGGATTTTATTCACATTTGTATAGGTCGCGGAACGTAACTCTAGCGCTGAACAAAACGCGGAGGGTATAGCTGCGCATGGGAACGACTGGAGAGCCAATCGGCGCAACGCAAGCCCACCCGCGCGCCTCGTTTCCCCCTAAGACATCTTAATTTTTACTTCTGCGCTATAACTGTCAGCTCTAGAGTTTTATGCCGAGACTTATATACCTCGTTTACATGCAGCGCGAGTAAGGAGGGAAGTGGGCCTGACGAGTATGTAAACACGATACTCGTCATGCCACTGCCATTACCACTCGCGTTACCCGGCGCTTCCCAAAAGAGCGGTTAGTTCGCGCCACGCGCTTGGTGGAGAAAGACGTATACTTTTTTAAGATCAGCCTCAATCGAATGAAGATTGTCTGCTTCAAAATTGAGTTGCAATATTTCATTCACCCGAACGAACAAACATACATTGCAAGTTATATAAAAACTTTTTAAAAACACTTATGTGGGTTGGTAGCTACTTACAAAGTTCTATTAAGATGGATAGATAACATCCACCATCTTCTACGACGAACTTTCTTTTTTTGTACCTGATATATTTTTAAATTTCGAACTAAATTATGGATTGCAAAAAAAAACAGCGCGGCCGCTGTAATTATTTCGACGTCTGCCATTGCTGAAATTCTGAAGCGAAGTGAGAGGTAGGGCAGTATGTAAACACATACTTCTCTCAATCATGCCGCAGCAATATTTAGGGAATTATTGCCGGCAACGCGAGGGGCAGCGGTATGGGCATAGTCTCAACGAGGTAATAGATTCCGTAATCAGCGCATAATAAATTACTCAAAACTTAACAGGATCACGAGTACAAACTGAGAGCACAAAAATCTCTTTCCGCGTTGAGTCTGTCTGTGTGTGGTTTCTTTACACAACAAATCCCCGTAGCCGACTCTATTTTGGACTTTTATATTGTCGACGGAATATTTAAATAAATTATAAAAAATATAAATGCGCAGATTTTACCGGTCAACTTTATAAAATCTATTATTTCGTTGCTTTCGTGCTTACTTAAGTCAATGTAGCAGAGCTCATTTTTGCATAGACCCTATGACACTTTTCAAACATCTGCGCGGGCTATTTGGACCACGAAGCATTCTTAATTAACATCGCCAATTTGGGATGGCCGCTTCTAAATATAATACCTACAAGGTGCAACGACCGCTCTTTCGCAATGGTGGTATTACGTAAAGACATTTCTTTCCCCTCGGCTATTAGTGTTATAAGCTGTGTTACATACGCGACTATCACTGTAATTCGACGACCGGTTGGTGAGCCTACGGCGCGTTCGCAGCTATCTATAATGCGATTCAACTAAGAATAGGACCGACTGGGCGCCATATTGTGATTTCATAGCTGTCAATTCAAACCAAATAGGTAGAGTGAGCAAAAAAAAAGGTTTTATTTAATAAAACTTATTTACTAAGATTAAGTGAGAAAAAGCATCAGATTTTTTTAATAACATTTATTTACTAAGATTGAGAAAAGAAAACCACCGATTTTTAATAAAATTTATTTATTAAGACTGAGAAAAAACATTAATCAGAATCTAGCTCTTCTATTCCGCTATCTCTGCATTACCGCCGGAGTAGCTATGAATAATCATGCACTATTACTAGGTCACATACGAACATGCATCCTTTATGTAAACGAAAGTTTGAAATAGAGTTTCCGAACGCAACTTAAAGTGACATTTGATTGACGATTTAGGTTATCAACCCTTCATGGCCATAGCTCAATAAGTGAAAAAAGAATATCAATCGATATTAATTATCAATATTTGTTATTGTTTGTTTACAAATGTTTGGTTTTTATTCTTGAATTAACGGAGTGCTAAAAAGAGTTCCAAGATTTTTTTTGCAAACCGTACTTTTCAAGCGACATTTGAGAGTTCATTGGCTTTCCTGATCTTATTTGAATCGCATTATACACACTCGCTTCGCTTTCAATGTGGCCTAAACATTGAAAGCGAATCGAGTGTTTAACGAAATTCGTTAGCTGCGCTAATGTTACTGAATTATTTTGGAAGATAATGCAGATTTACTGTTTGTTTCCATTTCTTCTGATATACATTAATTTTACACAACCTCTCCACACAGATACATTCACTATATAAAGGTACTTCATGGGAGGTTTCACATAGCTACATATTTCTTTTTTACTCTTTTGGAAAATTTGTTTGTATGCGCTGGCTGAGAACATCTGAAACAGCTTGTCGCTGCACCTGATAATAGTTCTGTACCCTTAGTACGTGTTTTACAATTACGAAAACTATGATAGTTTTCGTGAGCTCGCACTCGTACTAAGGGTACTGATTCTGTTTTCGTTTCAATACAAATAAACAGTGTTTAAATTCTATCATTAAATCATTTGCGTCTTCTTAAATTTTAAGTATATTTGGTTACTTTTCACCAAAATGGTCATAGAAACATAATTTACAATTACGAAAACTATGATAGTTTTCGTCAGCTCAAACTCGTACTAAGGGTACAGGTGAAGATGTATTTTAACGCAGGTGAAGGAATGTTCTAGTAATGTAAGATGTTTATAAATTTTGTATACCTACAATTTTTATGGTGCCGATAAAATATTATTATTATATCTTTTGATTAGTAATATTGAGAAAAGTTGCTGTAGATGTTGTGGTCCTATTTGAGTGATGAAATTTTTGTGGTCGATTTTTTTTAATTTCACATTTGGCTTTGATTTAAGATGTTATCTGGACTTTTATGATAAATGATTGTCATCCCATATCGTCAACAACTCATGATTTCCAAATCTGCCCTGTCCATCTTCTATCTGCACGGAAAACTTAATAGCTCGCACTATTTATACTTCTTTGCTCTCACTTTAGCATGAATAATGACGATTTTGTTTGAAGTGACAGTATACCTACTGTTTTTAAAGATACCATTATCTTTATAAAAATACAATAATAAATCACATGCGTTTGATACGTTAGACGTGGGTGAGATTGATATAGATAAGATTGTGTTACCGATTATCATTATTTGTTAGAAAAATCAGTTGGTTTCATGGTTGAAAGGACATGTAAAATTTAATTAGGATTGCGATAGTTTTAAAAAATATATCAAATCACAGAATTTAATAATTGCTGAAACAAACTGAGACACGGGTTTTTTCCTAGTTTAGGTGTCAGCCCGCCATAATTCGATATGTGACCTTTTTACTTAGTGTTTTTAATGGAATAAGAAACTGTTTATGGTGAAAAAAAAAAACGGGAAACCGACCCCTCTTCTTTGCTCTTGTGTGTATTTTTCTGTAGGTATATAAAAGTATATATAAGGCAACCGTTAATGGCTGACTTAGCGCACAGCTCAAGCTAGTGAACGGATTGCGCTGAAATTTGGATGGAACGCACGGAACACGAAGTGCAACCACCAAAGACTCTTTTTGTGTTTATAAACGGTTTGTACAATGTTTGAACAAGGCGGCACAGTTTGATAAGAACTTGAGATTCACTTATGGTTTTGTATTGCCACGCATTGCATGTTCCATGCGCTCCATCTGGCTTTTGTTTTGTAGGCTATTATGATTCGAGCATGCGCTAAGAAAGGGTTTTTTCAAAACTCACTCCTTGAAGGGGTAAAAATTTTGAAAATAACAACCAAAGTTAGGATTGCATTCAGAAGAAATCAATGTCCTGCCCTGTCTTTCCCAAAAAGGCAGGTCTTTTTGGGAGCAAATTAAGGTGAAACCACATGTGTGAATAAACTTTCTCAAGCATTGCACAACTTCAAGGAGAAACAAAGACTTTATTTATAGTTTTTATGGCTAATCAATCGCGTCGTTTACATAACAGGCCCATAAAAACACGGCGAGATCGGTTTGTATAGGAAAATAAATTGAACGAAACTTTTCCATAACCTGACAAAGGTTTGCAAATTAATCGAATAAATATTATTTATGAGACGATGGGGGAAACAATTTTATGCTTGAATTTGCGGAAGTTTTAGAGAATTATTATATTATATTAAGTATAATAATAATTCTTGTTTTTGTTAAGTCGGTTTTTATTTTTGTTATTTCCATCGTCCATTCTCAACAAGTGCTTAAACTGTCAGACAAACTTATCACTGCAGTGAATGGTGATAATTAATGATCATATCATTATTTAACAATTTCGTTCTCCCTCCTTCCAGCTTTGAGCGGCGGCTACCGTCGCTTGACATAAGATGCGCTCGCTGCTAGCGTACTACGCTGAAGCGGTGATGTCAGCGGCGGCGCAGCGGGCCGGCTGCGCGCTCGGCTGCAGCGGCCGCGGCGACTGCATGAACGGCACCTGCCTCTGCGAGATCAGATACGCGGGCAACGAGTGCGCCGCGCCCAACCTGCCTTACCATGCGTGTAAGTAGTAGTTCCTTATTGCACTCAGCAGTGACACTAACCCAGCGGCGGTGTGTAACCATTCCTCATGCGCTCGCTGCTAGCGTACTACGCTGAAGCGGTGATGTCAGCGGCCGCGGCGACTGCATGAACGGCACCTGCCTCTGCGAGATCATATACGCGGGCGACGAGTGCGCCGCGCCCAACCTGCCTTACCATGCGTGTAAGTAGTAGTTCCTTATTCCACTCAAGAAGTGACACTAACCCAGCGGCGGTGTGTAACCATTACTCATGCGCTCGCTGCTAGCGTACTACGCTGAAGTGGTGATTTCAGCGGCCGCGGCGACTGCATGAACGCACCTGGCTCTACTAGATCAGATACGCGGGCGACGAGTGCGCCGCGCCTTACCATGCCTGTGAGTTGTAGTCTCTACTGTTCCACTCGGAACCGCCCTTGTGCAATCGTTACCCAGGTTCGGGCGTATTACGCTGAAGCGGTGATGTCAGTAGCCACGGCTCTAAAGATATGCCTTCATCATCAGTCTATTGTCTCCTATGCTGTGGCAGGCCTTCCCTATGGATGAAATGGGGGAATCAGGCCATTTGAAAAAAAACTTAACCTCTTAAAAGTTGTACACTTACCTGACAAGCTCTTTATGGAGCGTGTCTGTTGAAATTTATTTTGTATAAATTTTTTATACGTCCAAATGTTCATCCTCTGTGGAATTACCATCTCTATATATAATATATCATGTTTTTATCATGCTAGTATGCAATTGATGTCCAAACTATGTGCGTTTGACATTTAGACGTGATAAAAATGTGATATAATATCTTATCGCGGTGCTCGTGATAGGGGGGGGGGGGGGGTCACTGCATTCTCTACGTGTCGCTCTGACGAGAGAAGGTTGCTGAGTCAATTTCTGTGTGGTACTGGAGAAGTTAAATTTTTCTTTAGATATAAATGTTTTATTAATACAATTATTTGTCTATTTCTCCAGGTATTGGCGGCGTTTTCCTCTTGGTGGCGTTCGTATGTGCAGTACAGCTGACCATCTGCGTGGTGTCCGAGTACCGGCGCCTGAAGGCACCCACATTCCTCAGGGCCTGCAAGGTCACCACGCAGAAGATGTTGTATCTAGTGGCATTCCTCGCATCCCTCATTAGGGGGGCTTACTTCGTGTCACCGGTAAGTTACTGAGAGATTCCAATGGCACTTCTTTACAGATTACTGACCATATGCTTGGTATAGTTTTCTTAGCGCCTGCAAGGTCACCGGTAAGTAAAAGAGCGGTCTCTAAGGTACTTTTTCACTGACCATGTAGGTAATTCTTCACTAACCATCTAGGCAATTCTTCACTGATTACTGATCATCTGAGTACCGGTATCTGAAGGCGCTCACATTCCTCAGGGTCTACTAGAAGATGCTGTGCCCAGTCGCAATCATAGCTTCTCTCATCACTTACTTCGTGTCACCGGTAAGTTACTGAGCGCTTCCAAAGGCACTTATTCACTGACTATCTAGGCACTTATTCATTGATTACTGACCATCTGAGTACTGGCGTCTGAAGGCGCCCACATTCCTCAGGGCCTGCAAGGTCACTACGCAGAAGATGCTGTGTCTAGTGGCTTTTCTCGCTTCTCTCATCAGGGGCGCTTACTTCGTGTCACCGGTGTGTTATTGAGCGATCTCGTTCGGATAAGGTATCTTTATTGTTTCTGGTATTCTCAAAACAAGTCATATAGTTAATTAATAAATAAATAAGATATGCATATTTTATATTGTAAGATGAAGAAATGAGTCATCAAATTTCTTTGTACGCGTTGGAATTGTGGCCACAGTAAGACGGTGACAACGTAGGCCAGCGTGCGTGGTCTTTTTTCGTTTGCGTTTTGTACAACAAGCACAGTTGTTCGGGCGTAAAAAAAACGCCGCACCTTGTTCAGGACTCCGAGTTTGCGTGAAGCTGTTTTGATCACGGTTTCGATGTAGTCCTTTGGATTCAGGTCTGAGCGAACTTCCATACCGAGCATGGAAATGTTGCTCTGCAGCGGTAGTGTTGTGCCCTGAAGAGATGGAAGGGGAAGGAATGGCGATGTTTTTGCCGTGAAAGCGCAAGCCTGAGTTTTCTTGGCATTGAACTCAACCAAGTTCCTGGTATCCCATTCGGAAATGTGGTCCAAAGCCTGATTGAGTTCAATGACAAGATTTTTCCGTTTCTCCTTGGTAACTTGCCTGCCCAGCTGCTGCTTGTCCGAGATACCCCGCATGAACTGTACTATCGTCTGCATAGCAATGAATATTCCCAAGAGGAATCAAGTCATTGATATGCAGCAGAAAGAGAGTGGGGGATAGGACGGAGCCCTGGGGAACGCCGGCATTCACTGACATGAACCGCGAACTACTACCATCCGTAAGGACACGAATTCTACGCTCATGCAGGAAGTCAGCTACCCAAGAACAGAACTGGGCTGGCAGACCGTATGCCGGAAGCTTGGAGAGAAGGCTTTTGTGCCAGACCCTGTCGAACGCCTTGGCAATGTCAAGGCTGATAGCCAACGACTCGCCACGCTTGTCGATAGCCTCACCCCAGATATGAGTTAAGTACGCTAGAAGATCACACGTCGATCGTTTCGGTCTAAATCCATATTGACGATCATCAATCAGGGAGTGATCCTCTAGGTAGCAGGTCAGATGGTTATTAAGGACCTTTTCTAGAACTTTACATAAAACTGAGATGACTGCTATTGGCCGGTAGTTTGCCGGGTCTGAACGATCCCCTTTTTTGGGCACCGGCGGCACGTTAGCATCTCTCCAAGTCTCCGGCACACGCCCCAAAGAATACGAGCATTGGTACAAGCGCGTGAGCACGGGAGACAACTCCGCTGCACATTTTTTAAGTACTACTGCTGGGATGCCATCAGGTCCACTAGCTTTCCGGACGTCGAGTGATTGCAATTCGTCACGAACCTCACGCTGCCTGATTTTAATATCAGTCATCGTTGTGCCACAGTGAGGTAATGATGGTGGCAGTGCATTGCAATCATCGATTCGGGAGTTAGCCGCAAAGAGTTTTGCCAGTAAATCGGCTTTCTCCTGCGGCTTATGAGCTAGTGTTCCGTCTGGGCATCTCAGAGGTGGCAGCGAGGGCTGGCAGAAGTTTTTTTGCACGGCCTTGGCCAAACACCAGTAGCTACGGGAGCATGCATGATGCGTTAGAAGTTCCTGGCCAACACGTGCAACACGCTGGGCATCCGCTCTGATGTAAGCCTTCTTACAGGCCTTGGAAGCAGAATTGTAGGCTGCTTTGAGTGAATCGACCCCAGGATCCTTGAGAGCGCGGCCTCTGATCCAAGCACGATATGCCGCTTGCTTACGCGAAGCAGCTTCAGCACAGTCGTGATTGAATCAGAGGTTACGTGTGCCCTTACTGATAAGATCAGAATGAGGAATATAGTATTCCATACCCATTGTAATCTCCTCAGTAACGGCAACGGCACTGCCCGATAGGTCGCTGTCACTGAAGCAGCGTTGCTTCCAAGGGACGGACGCAAAGTAATTACGCATACCGTCCCAATCTGCCGACCCATAATGCCAGATACGGCGCTTGACCACTGCTGGACGCGGAGGCTTGGCCTGTGGTGCTTTGGCAGATATCAGGCAGTGGTCGGATGAGCCCAGGGGGGCTCTTACCACAACCTGATAGCCCTGTGGATGGGTCGTGAGCAGAAGGTCCAGTAATGAAGGCGCTTGACTTGAAATATCTGGAATCCTGGTGGGCTGATCGACCAGTTGCTTCAAGTCCTGCGTGAGAGCGAACGCGTGAGCAGAGATCCCTGCATGGTCAGTTTTCGAGGAACTTAACCACAAATTGTGGTGAGCATTAAAGTCCCCCAAAAACACCAATTCTGCATTGGGAAATTGCTCCTGCGCGTCATCTGCTGCCCGACTAAGATGTGCGAAAAGTCTAGTTGTCTCAACATCGCCAGTGTGGGATCTGTAGAGGCACACGTAGACTCTGGCCTGGGGACCAGAATCGACGTGTACCCCCAACATGGAGAAGGAGGGATCTTCCAAGCAGCGAAGACGGCGACAACAAACATCCGCCCGAACATACAGGCATACACCGGCTTTCGCTTTGAAGGACTCTTCAAGCACGTAGCCGGGATAATTAAGGTAGCCTGTGTCAGCAGGCGGAAGTATTTGTGTCTCCGTCAGGAACAACAATGCTGGCCGTGCTGTATCGAGATGGTGGTGGACAGCGTTGAGGTTAGAGTGGAGTCGGCGTCTGTTGCAGAACTCGACCTCAAACAGCGTTGAAGGCGTGGGGGTGTGCACCGCTGTACGTCCAAAGTTTGTTATTGAGGCTGCCATGGTGGAAGTAAAATAAAAAGAGACGCGAAAACGAGCTGACGCCGGCGCGAAGAGTCCGGGCAAATAAGGGAGGTTTGTTTTCCCGATTGACTGCCTGCAGAGGAGATGCGCCGACCCGCCGGACGGAAGCCCCCCCCCCCCCCCCCCCCCCCCCCGGGAGTGGCCGCCGGGACCCCACGCCCCGGTCACCAACCGGCACGACGGTCCGCCCCGAGATTATGCGTGACATGATGGGGCAGCCTCGCGTACTGTGCCACGGGCGGCCAGCGGGACAGCCGTTTCTACGGGTCTCCCTGGCCGGCGGGTCGATGCAGTCCTTCCGGCATCAGTTCGACGGATGCCTCCACTAGACCGAATCCGTCGCGGCAATCTCCACTCGAGCTCTGGTTGTACGCTGGCTGATCCCGAAACGCGCGTAAAGCACTTCACGGGTTTTTCACCATGCGTACGGTGGTAACAAACCAGGCGGGTGTTAGGCACCCTACCACCAGAAGAGCGGATGGAAGCTCCGACATCCCTTAGTCGCTTCTTACGACACCCACGGGAAGAAAAGGGGCGGTGAGTTGTATTCTTTCTCCGTCACCGCACGGATAATAAGTAGTTAATTTAAGTGTTGGAAATATTTATTAAATTTAGCATATTATTCAGCATTAGTTTAGTTTAGTTTTTCAGGGAGGTTTCCGCACTTAATCCTAATCATTGGACCATTGTGCGTCTCTTAAAAAATTCCCGTTTATTCCAGCCAGCCTAGGTTAGTCCATAAGGAAAGTAGCCTTGGTAGACTGCTGAAAGCTTCCAGAAGCGATGCTGGCGACTGGAGAAGTCGTGCCCGTTGGTCGGCCACACTCCTGCATTCCATGATGACATGCTGTGGCGTTTCTTCTGCCTCCATGCATCCTCTGCATAGGGGGCTGTCTGTTACTCCTATTGTATATAAGTGTTTGTTTAGGGGACAATGACCAGTTAGGGTTCCTAAAATTATGCGGAATTTGTCCCTATTAAGTCTGGTAAGGGTGCTGGCTAGTCATGCATATGCAGCATATGTGTGCTTTTGACAACTACTTGATTACGAATGTTATAATTTGTCCCCAGTCGGCGTTCCAAGAAGGATGGGCAACCAGTTTGCTGTCGGCCTACTATCCACTGCTCATGTCGGGCTCTTCGCTCATCGTGTGCTTTTGGGCAGAGGTAAGTGATAATTTATGCCAAAGTAGGCTTTATTGAATAGCTTGATGGCGCAAGTGGTTAGCGCGTTCGGGTGCGATCGTTGAAGTTAAGCAACTTTCAACAGTGGTCGGTCGTTGGATGGGTATCCAAAAATTACAAAAAAAATTACGAAAGAGCGAGTACCCCCTAACACAAGTAAAATACTTAGAAGACGATACTCAACAACATGTTTATTTGGATCTTGTAAAAATAAGCAACTTTCGCAGTGGTCGGTCATTGGATGCGTGACAAAAAATTTACTATCTCGAGCTCCTCCGTGCTTCGGAAGGCACGTTAAGCCATTGGTCCCGGCTGTCGTTAGCACCCACCAATCCCCACTGGGCCCGCGTGGTGGGTCATGGCCCAAACTCCCTATTCCATCCATAGGGAAGGTCTGTGCCCCAGCAGTGGGGACATTAATAGGCTGATGATGACGATGATAATGATGAGGCTTTAAGCAAAGACAAAAACCTCAGAACAAGAAGTTAAGCACAGAAGTAATGGTATGACATTAGAGCGTACACTCCCATAGACAATAGATTAACGAAAATATTTCCAAACAAAGTATAACCCACCAAACAGTATTAGTGGTGTGTTGGCAGGTTGCATATGACATTAGATCGCTTTTTGATTCAGCATTCAAAAGGCTACCAAAGTATCTAATTTGACGTAACAAGCCATACTAAAGTATCCAATTTAACGTTTGTACGCACGCAATTCATAGTATGGTTCATAGCAACATATATTTGTCCCTTTCTTGGTCTATATGTAAAAATAATATAGGTAACCATTGCCGTCTTTGACCTATTGGAAGCCCTGGGCATATTAGGATAATGGGGCCCCTATGACTTCCGTTTGGTGATTACAGGAACTAGGGACTTTATTTGATTTGAGGGGGCCCCTATCGATCGCGGGGCCCTGGGCACTTGCCCAAAGTGCCCACTGGGAAAGACGGGTCTGAATATAACTATATGAGTTGAATTTAAATTCCTTCTATGCTTTAGGTCTTGTTCTGAGACAACAACCTATATTGAACAATTTATGGTTGATAGATTCTCCAGACACGTTTTGTATGTTTTTGTATTCTTGGGTAATGGCAGGAAAACTAAATCCTTTCAACTTGATTCGTCAGGTTAAATTTGCTGTAACTAGAAAAAATGGCATCGCATTACTGAACGTTTTGTGAAGAAATAAAAAATAACGACTCGAAAATAACTTCTTTAAACAGCGCCATCTATGCGAGTTTGTAGTAACCAACAAGAAATGCCGAGGTCAATGTCATGGAGCAAATACAAAGAGGTATGGTCAATGTGCACGTGCTTCCTCTCCGTGTTTATATAAACTGGGTACTCTGTAGCGTTAAATAATGATGCAAGCGATAGATGGCGCTGCACAGCTTAAGTAACTAAAAATGTGTTAGGACATTATATTAATATTTGCAAAAAATATTTGTTGAACGTTTGGTGTAGATTAAGGACCGTTTTAAATAGTCTAGTATATGTGAAAAAAAAAACGACGGGTTGTTCTCCGGGAGTGCCGGCAGAAATGAAAACTTGAATATTAACTTTGTGCATTTTTGATATTTTGGAATGGTTAGGGAATAATTTTGCATGAATTTCTTTAATTATCAATATAAAAGTACTATCATTTATGTGGTAGAATACAATATTTATTTATTGCGCTATCGTACACAAACATGACAATTTATATTACATTTAAAAAGTTTATCTCTCAGAATTATTAAATTTAGCATTATTACAATAGATGTCGCTAGGTGCGCTTTCATTAAAGTGCTATCTATTGTAAAAAAATGCATTTTCTTCGCAATAAAGCTGCCACCTGGACGTCGTAGATACAGACTTATTATTAAAATACGATAAAATATTACTATGATTCGTCCAATATATTGAAAGTCAACAAGCTTTCCAATTATATTGTTATCGTTTTACAATTTACGAATTATAATACCATAAAATAAAATATTACTATGTTTCGTCCAATATATTGAAAGTCAACAACCTTTCCAATTTTATTGTGTGTCATGATGCGATCAGCCCATGTGTTTAACCTGACGGGAGTTTAACATTTATTACCCATACGAAAAAAAGTGTACAAAGCTGCTAAAGAAGTTTTCACTTAAAAAAAATTGACAAACTAGTATGGATGACTAGGACAAGGGCGAAACAGTTAAGATTTTCAACTTCAAAATTTTCAGGGAACAGTGATGACATTGAGGTTATAGGTTTCCACATATTGTAGAATAGCATTGTTCAGGTTTTCAAAAGTAGACCCACGGAAATTAATGGAATTAACTGGTTTTTTATAGGTAGGACCGACAAATGACTCCATCCACCCCACCTGATGTTAAGTATCTGCAGTGTAGTAGTAATTTGTTTGTTACCACAAACAAGCATTGGTCATGACTTACCTTAACATTAGTTGTCAGAGTGCTATGTCTATGAAGACCTCCGTGGCCGAGTGGTTTGTACGCCGGGTTTCATAGCGTCGCTGACTCGAGAGGTCTCGTGTTCGAATCCTGGTGGGGGCAGATGTTTGTGTGATGAACACGAGCATTTGTACTCCAGTCATGTATGTTTAATATGTATTTGTGTATAAATATACTTATATATGTAAAGTATATGTATTCTATCCGTTACCCTAGTATCCTATAACACAAGCCTTATAGTGCTTACTTTGGGGCTAGGCTAATTGGTGTGAGTGTTGGAAATATTTATTTATTTATTATTAAAAATTCTACCTCATGCCTCATTTCCGCTCTCTTAAGCTCGTATTACAGAATGACAACTAAGAGTTGATCTTTACTTGAGTACAGTTAGTAAGGGATGGCGCTATTTGCTGTATATAGCGACATCCCTTTCTAACTATGCTCAAGACTAGATCAATCACTGAGAAACTTTCTATAATACGGGCCTTAATGTCTTGAAAAGGCTTGACCCCTTCTCCCCATCAGGAGTTGCAACGCGGATATGTGGGGAATTTTTAGCTGCGCTCATTTACTACACGCTAAAACCACAGACAATACTCCTGCACCGGTCACCCGGCACGCACTCTAAGGCGCTTGTTAACGAGAACCGAGGTACATCGCAGTTGAGTTATTAAAAAAATGGGTGCGTGTACTTATGTAGGCGCGTGAGAAGTTATCCTTCTTTGGCATCGTTTAAAATTAGTTTTTAATTGCATGCAAATAATTAATTACAATAAATTAATAAAAAGTCTGGAAAAGGACTCAGTCAATAAAGTTCAGTTTTAATTTGGAAAAATAAATAAATAATCAAAATATTCAATTAAAAATGTGATTTGCACTTGTATGAAACTCAAACACGTAATCCGAATATACGAACTAGAAACATGTGGATAAATATTATAAATATGAATACCTATAACTGTTACTTTATTACAAAAAATAAAGATGTGGTTTGTGGTTCTACTACACCAATGGTCAAGAGATGGCGCTGTAGTCTCCTGAATCGCGCTTTGGTTCCGTTGTTCCAGATTAATAAATACTTTTGATAGGCCTTCACAATGCAGTCGTTAGCACCCACTAAATAGAGATTCTATTTCTATTTTGTTGGTAGATTTTCTTAATGTGCGGTAAACACAAAAGTAACGCATGAAGTTGGTCGCTAAAGCGACCAACTTCATGCTGTTAAAATTTTGTGTTACAGTGATGCGCGCGCATCTTAAAATTTCACTCTCATCATTTTTTCATAACGCGCCTAAAGAAGTATAACTTCAAAATGGAAAAGAAGAATGTGGCGGTTGCTGGCTATTTATCGGAATCCACAGGAAGTTTTCTGCTTAAATACAACTCTAGGAATTTACTTATAATATTAGCAGCAAAAAATAATTGCAAACACGCGTCCACTCTCATTCGCAACTCTAGTACTGCTGATGCGTCGTGAAACGTGTGGACAGTCACGCTTAGGGTTGCCAGGCCATAAAATGCAAAGGCCGGACTGCGCACTATATAAGGCCTGACATTTTGCCCTAAATTTTTTTCATTGCCAAACATAATGCTTTACAGCTGAGCTGTTGAAAAAATTTATACGTGATGTAAAGTGAGAATGAGATCGAAAATGGTGTGTGTGCCATATATATATATGCATTATTTTATGCAACAGTTTGCTCTCTTGTCCGTTCGGACGCTCGTCCGCCCATCGTCGTACGAATCGCTACTCTGATAAAAAGCCTGACAAAAGCCGGACAGGCCAAACACGTACATATTTGGCCGGATGCGACCGCAAAACGGACACCTGGCAAGCCTAGTCACGCCGGACGTCTGCCCTGAATCCCTTTGTTGCGTGCCACAAAAACCAACAACTAACGGATTGATGGCAGACGCATCTGCGGACGTTAACCTACCACAGAAGTCCCTCAGGTTCGAGTGGTCTGGACCTGGAGGCCCCAGGCGGAGAGGAGACCCCCCCGTGGGGAGATGCCATCCGCCTGGAATATCTCTCTACAGGCACTCGTTAATTTACGGCTTGAGGTCCCCTTAGGATCTCGCCGTCCCCAAACACCTGTGACGCTGTTAAGGACATATGCGACCAACAAGTTACCCTTTAAAAAAAAACACAATCGCGGAAACTACCCCACCCCGTCTACACGTCGGACGTATCCGCAGATGTATCTGTCGACTTGTAGAGAGGGCATTAGACCGAGTCTGTCAGTCGCTTCAAGGATCGAGAAGGCAAAGCTCTAAACAGATTATTTTACTTCCAACGTTTGACTGAGAAGTAAGGAACTTCTAGGTTTGACTTAGTCAAAGGCAAAAATTAGAATATATTTCGGGGTTTGCCCGAAGGCTTTGGTCAAATCTGGGGTGAACCAGTTATTCCGGGAAGAGCCTGCATATCGACCTTTGACTGTGACATATTACATTGACGACCTCCGTGGCCTAGTGGTTTGTAAGCCGGGTTTCATGGTGTCGCCGAGTCGAGAGGTCCCGGGTTCAAATCCCG